GCACTGCAACTGAGATTCCGAGTCGGAGTCAGTCACTAGCTCGTCCCTTAAAGACGACACTGGAGTGGCATTGTCACTCGAGGTGGCCATTTAGCTGTTTTCTTGGCGAATCTCTGTTTTCTCTGGGGGATACACATGATATAGTTGCTCTGGTTTTTGTTTTAAAATACTATTTAACACATGGTAATGCTTTTGGTGGACAATATTGACGTTTCATTACAATTTAGGTAACATAATATAATTAGCTCAATAAAAAAAAATACATTTTAAAGACTAAAAAGAAATCATCAAGTATGATATTTACAGAATTAAAAATTGAACTTGAAGCTTATACAAGCTATTGAAGTTTTATAAATATATTTATTTTACTTTTGCACATGAGGTGCAAAAAAATTTGTGTTAGTATAGTAAAGTATATAAATGGTATATGTGGTAGTCGATGGTGTACGATTTTCAGTCAAGTTTAAATACTAACGTATGTAATATAATATGTTTTTAGTTTTTGCTTTAATGTCAAATAATAATTATTCGATAATATTTAAATATTTGTATAGTCACTATCTTTATGCTTGCAGTTCTAGTATAATAACACAGATTTTGCAGATTAGGTCATAAAGTTACAAGTGTAAAGCTTGAAAAAACAGTTGGGATAGTCATTTTTTAAGAATTTTCATCGGATTTTTATTGAAAACGTCAACCTCTATCCAGATATATCTTAAATAAATTGTATATAAACCTTATTTTGGCTGCTATCTATAATTTTCGGTGGGACCACCACTGAGATCTTTTTCCCAGCGTCGTGGGCGCTTGGGGAGTGGCCAGCGTGGGCGTTAGGTGCTCAGAGAGTCAGACAGATAGCAGTGTCTTTCATATTTAAACTGACAGTTTATTGTGCTTTTCATTACAATTTTGTTTGTTAGTTATACCCGTTACTCGTAGAGTAAAAGGGTATACTAGATTCGTGCAAAAGTATGTAACAGCTAGAAGGAAGCGTTTCCGACCCCATAAAGTATATATATTCTTGATCAGGGTCACTAGCCGAGTCGATCTAGCCATGTCCGTCTGTCCGTCTGTCTGTCTGTCTGTCTGTCTGTCTGTCCGTCTGTCCGTCTGTCCGTCTGTATGAACGCTGAGATCTCAGAAACTACAAAAGCTAGAAGGTTGAGATTTCCCACACATATTCTTTGGCTTCCTACGCAGCGCAAGTTTATTTTAGCCGAGCGCCACGCCCCCTCTAACGCCCACAATCGCCCACTAACGATTTTAAAATGGGTCCTGCGCCCACATCTTTAAAGATTTCCGAGAAGTATAAATGCAATTTTGTTGTGTATATTTATACCTATCGAAATGTAGAAGACATTTTTCAAATCGGACCATTCATTAAAAAGTTATACGCTTTATAAATTGTCAACATATATCTATCTCCCTCGCACTCCCTTTAGCTGAGTTACGATTATTAGTCGGGACACCAACCCGACACAGCGTTCGCACTCCCTTTAGCGGAGTGACGGGTATTAGATAGTCGGGACACCAACCCGACTATAGCGTTCTCTCTTGTTTTATTTTGCAAACAAAACTCGACGATGACAGCTGCCTTCGGTGGCCAAAACCAGACAATTGGGGGGTTTTGGGGGAGTTTTCGATGGGTTTCCTGAGTGGAGGTCTGGTTTCGGAGGGTGCGGGTGTGAGTTCAAGCGCACTCGAGCGTGGAGTCAAGCTGGAACTGCAGCTGCACCACCCCCGTCGAACTGTGCACCACAGCCATGGCCCCGTTGCGGCATTTTAGCCAAACGGAAGTCATAAAAGACGCGCATTTTCCTCTTCTTATTTTCGCTCCTCTGGTGACAAGGACAACACCAATAACAATAACACTAACAATAACAATAAGAATAAGAATAAGTAGGGAAACAACAATGCAGCTATAATTTCTCGTTAAAAAGCAAATGCCCAGAACAGCGTTGGATTTTAATGGCCAAGATAATTCCAATAATGTAGATAAATTCATTTGGCACGCGTCTAATTGAGTGGCATTGCATTTTGGCCATAACTAGGTTTCCTTCCATTTATCCGCTGACTTTTATGGCACATGGCTGACCATCGGCGTCGTATCATTAATCAAAGACTAAATGCCCATGACGACAGCCGTGGACTTTGGGGATAGGATCGGGATGGGATATCCTGGGGGCTGGACTAAGGAGATGGACGGTCCAGAGAAGGCACCAACATGGCTTAGGGCATCAATCAGTCGAATGCATAAAAATAAACCTCAATTTAACGCGAATACTGGGCGAGCTATAGATACATACTAAATTGAGCGTCATTTAAAATTCTAATTTAATAAATGTTAAACGAATAAAATAGTAAAAGTAATAATAATAGTAATGTTTTGACCAATAATGCTATTAGTAATCCATTAAAAAGACTAATTTGTTAATTTGAAAATAATATAATATGATACTTAAAGTTCATGTTATTAAAAAATAAGATTTCTTAAATAAAAAAAATCTTCTAGACCTACGATTTTTACTATAAACTTGAAAATGTAACTCCAAATAATAGGGCAGTGTCAATTTTCGTAGTTTTTTTATTCTCGTTCCTACAGGTATTTGATATAGTCATCCGATTTGTATAGAATTTAGTTTGTAATTCAGAAATCGTACAAAAATGCTATATGAAATAGTCGGTTGTTCCGGTGAGTACCGACTTGTACACTTACCTGCAATAGAACGACGAACTTAAGGACTTGGATAGATCGACTCGGATGATAAAGAACACTTTATAGAGTAGGAGATGTTGTAAGCTTCTTACCGAAATTTTTGTACCCACTGCTCGGATATAAAAAACTTATTTACTTTAGCGAAATTAAATGCCGTCATCTCTTGAATGCTTTGGATCTCTATTGACTACCCCTATTAACCTCTTCTCCCTTATTCTTGTAAAACAATGTCGGCAAAAGAAAACCAGAAAAAACGGGCTTAAATGGAAGGTTATGTGGAAAATGAATGAATCAATGAATGAATGATGCTGGAGCCATGGGTTGTGCACGCACAAATGGAAAATGGATAATGATGCGTTTGTGTATTGGGAGCGCTTTTATTAGACTAACAAACACCAGCACCCGTACGCTTGGGGATGCCCCGAATTTTCCAAGTTAAGATGAAGCACTCACACTCTTAAACTTGCTCTTTTTCAAGTTGTGCTGAAGTTTTCCTTTCTCGGCAAAAAAAAGAAAACTCTCGAAGGGGATTTTTCTTGGCGAGATTCAATTGCAAAAGGAGACCAGCTTCTTTAAACTGTCAGTTTTTGGCCGGCCTTTGTGCAGTTAGTCGATGCTTTAACAGCTTCAACACCCCTTTTCCGACTCCATTTTCACCATCATCATCATCAAAGTACACTCAAAGAAATACTCTGCCTAAAAATCCACGTATGAAATTGTGGCATACGTATTTCTATAAAATAAATAAATTGTCATGGCCAAATTAGGAAAACATTTTTTATTGGCTTCAAAAATTAGTGAATATTAATTAGTTTAACACGACGTCGTAAGAGGCAAAGATCTCATTCTACAATCGTAGCAAAGCCTAGAAAATGGTGTTAAATCACCAAGACTTTGTGTTAAAATTTATTCATTGTTCATTAACAAAAATCAATTAATGGGACTGCTGTGATATTATCCAAAATTTGAAATATATTGGACATTCAAATCATCACAATTTTTGAAAATCTGTAGTAAAATATGTAATTATTTAAATAAATTTAGTAGAAAAATATGTAATTATTTAAAGAAATTGGCCTAGAGAAATGCGTTTCTCAGGAAGCGGTTATTGAACTTTGATAGTGACTTTTTAATTTTTTTGTAAAAAATTCGATGTTTATTTTCCGTGTAGACGTCTTTTGTTCGCAAGTTTACACGCAGCTGTCAAATCACAATACTTGCTAAGAATTTCCATTAACTCATTTTCCTCTCTCATTTTCCCAACGTGCGTGTGTGTGTGCGTGTATTGATTGTGTTAAGTGTTCGGTGCACTTGAGGCGATGGGTGGTTTGAGGGGATTTTTCCACTGAAGCTTCAGCTTGTGGCCATTGCTCGAAACTTTCGCCATTGTTATAACAAAATAATGGCCCTCATACACCCCTACACTCACTTACTCTCGCACACACCCGCACTCTTGCCAGGACTCCTGCACACACACGTAAACAGTTTAAAAACCCTCAAACTTTGCTTGCACTTGTCGCCTAATTCAATATGCACAAGTCCTCTTCACACTCTTTTTTATTCTTGCTTTCCAGGACCCGCCGCCTTTTGTTTCTTTTTTATAGCAGTTCCTTCTACTTCTCGCCAGTCTTGCTCTACGTGTATTCTTATTCTTGGTTGAACTAAAATACTGAGTAATGTTATTCGAAATATTTTTTTAGTACAAGAAAACCCGATCGCTAAGTATCAATACGAAGCATCGTCCAATAATAAAGAACTATCAGAAATATATAGAAATTTGATTTTAAAAGTATATTTCATAAAGTTTTTCAAGAAAAATTAAATTAAATTCTTAATTATAATGTTTTAAATATTGATTTTTACAAATCAATATCCTAAAAAACATTAATAAACGTAAAAAAAAATCTAGCTTCGGTGTTTTTTAAAATATTACCTTCTACTCTATTTTTTTAAATATTTCTGAAAATCGGATCACTATAGCTGTCATAGGAACGGTCGGAAAATTAATAGAAAAAAAATTATATCTTTGTTTATTTTTATTACATCCTCCCCTTCACTGGGATATAGCATTTATTAAACATTTCGAAATTTCGAATTACATTTAACAAAACTCGGACGTCTATACTATATAGCTCCCATAGGAAGGATCAAAAAAATAATGATCTCCTAGCTTCCTTTCTTGTTTTGCAGTGTCTTTTGGCTACCTTTTATCTGTGTAAACTTATGGCACATCTTGCCATCTCTGCCTTGGTCAGCAGGGGCGTAGTTCGAGTGCTGTACTCACCTTCACACATTGACTCGTGATTGTGGATCGATTATTCAATTACCTCGGACTCTCTGGATTGGGCACTAAAAGGAAAAAGAACAAAAAAACGTGGACGGTCAACATAAGGCTTTCAAAGTGTACGCCCATATCCAAATAAAGACTCATTGAAGATGAATCATTTTTCCCAAGAAGAAGTTTCACATTCCACCACCCTGCTGCAATTTTGTATATTTATACAAACAGTTGTTTGGGGCTATGTGCACGAACCCCAAAATATGTTTAGAATTCAGTGGATGTTTTTTAAATTTTTTTTCTTTTTACACATATACTGTACAGGTTGTGATTAATTTTTCGATTTGGACTCATGCTTAAATTGAATTATTAACCTATTATTATAATAGAATATAATATATGTAATATCGTGCAATTAAAAGCATACTGACTTTTACGGAAACAGATTTAAACCCTAATATATGGGGAAGGTTGGCATTAAATTTACATAGCCACAACTATCCACTTTTCTGACGAAAAATTATTATAGATTCGAATTAATAAATATACTTTCTGAAACATTCTTATTCGGCCTGCTTTCATTTACTTTCACAGCTCTTTTTCCCAAACCAAATATTCAATATTTTATTAGATTTGATTTTCATTTTTATTTGCATGCTTTAAGAAAAGAATTCGGTGGAATTAAGCTGGCGAGTGCAAAATAATTGCTTCATGAAATCCACCGCCAATGTCGGATAATATCCCGATGATATATGCTCCTCTGCTCACATCCTAATTGCTGCGCGAACTCTTTGACCAGATATTGGTTTCCACATTCGCAGGTGCTGGTACTACATACTTTGCTGCATTATACTGCCGCCGGCTGCTGCAACGAACTTATCTGCAATTTGCCACATTCCCACGGGAGTTTTCCACCCGCAACGACCGCGCCCCCTTTTCCGGGTCGCCCTCGTTCGGACGGTGCTTATGCAAAGCATATTGTTGCTCATTATCTTCACAAGGATTAACATGTTATCCTTAGCACGCGCGGCCGCTTCCCATTACGCTTCGTCCTGGCTTCTCCTCCTGCTCCTTTCTCCGCCACCGCCTCTAGTTTCGCCACTTTCTCAGCTTTTTTTGTGCTATCTTTCGGCTTGCTTTGTTTCTGCAGCGTTGTTCCTGTTGATTTTTGCATTTCGCTGGCTTTGGTTTCTCCCCAGGTTTTTCCTGGGCTCTTCCTGATTTCCCCCGTTTTTTAGGTATTCCGCATATTTTTTTGGACCTTCTCTGCGCGCTAAGTACAAGCCTCTTCTGGCAGCTTTTGGGCGCCTTGCGAGCGTCAAATGCGTAAGAAGAATTATTACCGCATTTTCCCTGTTTCGCCTTGTGCTCTGGCGGATTTGCACGTTGCCTCTGGCTTGCTTAACCATCCGGTTATGTCGTGCACCTTCTCCATCGCAGTCCCGATGCCACGGGATCTGGGGTTTGATACCGGGATTGTCGTGGCCCTCCGGCTGGCGTATTGCTTACAAATTGTGCGTCTCCTCGCCAGCGGCGGTATTTTCCGATGCAATTTCTGCCTTTGATGTCGCTCATACGCCGTGTTGCACGTGGCCCCCGAGGATGTGCTTCCTTCTTACCAGCATCTGGCAGGGTGTCCATTGTTCTTTATATTTCATATGTATTCGTATATATGTTACTACGGTCTCTTGTGCAATAAGGCATAGCGGTTAGCTTATGAGTGGTTATAAAAGTATTATTTTATAATCTAATCGTAATTCAACACCTCCACATCTAGCAGTTTTAATAAAATGTAGTAGAACAGAGTGAATTAATTTGTTGGGCAACGCAGCGCACCTTTTCCACCTGTTTTTAATTCTTTTCTACGAGTTAAGCGGCCCTTGGCTTTTGGCTTAACGTGTTTACCTTTGCCATCCGACACCAACCCCCCTCATCCCACGGCTTTGTTTTTTGACTTGGAGTCTCCTCTCCTCTCGTTTTGTTTTTGTGCATTTTTTCTTGACAAAGAACGCTGCTGCTGATACAATTGCAGAGGTAACAACAAAATAATAAAACAGAGCACACAGAAAGCAGAACAAAAAGGAGAAAAATAACACAAAGCGTTGGGATTGATTGAATTTCGAATTTTTAAGCATTTCGCCGCAGTCCAAAATTTTGTTAGTCAAACTGCAGGAGCGAGTGCACGGAACCGAAAACTGCTACAAAAAAAAAAACAACAGAAAGCCCCTACAAAGAGAAAAAAGAAAATGGGAACGTTATAAATTTTGAAATAACTTTTTTCGAAGTACATGGAAATTCGACTTTAAGGCGAGCTTATCCTCAGGCTGATTAAAACATGAAAGATATGAAAGGAGCATGTTCAAGAAGAACACCTTTTATAATAAATCTAATATTTTACGAGTTCAGTAGATGTCAATATGTAAATTGATCTAGAGCCGTAAATAACGATCTGTAACTCAAACCCTACAAGGGTGTAGTGCTAACACTTGTAATCTTAAGTACAGGCCACTTGAGCCTGACCATAAATATAGTTCTCACACTGCAGAAAAGGGTCGCATTGCAGGAGGCCGTTGATAAGGCTCCCGCTCAGGCAAACAGATGTGGTCTCTGCGTAGACCATAGATAAGTATATTATAAGAATTTCATGTTAGCTACGTAAGCAAAGACTTAATGTAATAAAATCAGTTTTAATACAGAACTCAAACGTGAAGGTTGTTTTCCTTATTACAGGAATCCCTTTCATTTTGGTCATTCGAGCCTTTGATTCCTTGCGGAACAATTGGCCAGACTACTCTGCAGTTTTCCCCCACCAGTGGTAAGAGGCTCAGAGATATTCTGCACCTTAAAGATTCTGCTAAGTGCTAGACACTTGCAGCTACAGGTTGCAAACAGATTCACACGATTGTTTTCCCCCACCAGAGCACACTGGGCCAGAAAGTTAATTTTTTGGCCAAAAATCTGTAATTTCTTTCCTAGGACAGTTAGAAGGATGCAGTTTTTTGCGTTTTTTTCTTAAAAGATTGATCTTTCCAACGAACTAAAAGTAAAATTTTTTGGAATATTATATGATATAGATAATCCAGACCAAAGTCGGAAAATTTTACGTACTTTTCGGCTTTTTATTTTTAAAAAAATAACTAGAAGACGCACTTCTTTCATTTTCGAAAACAATAAAGTATGAGATAAAACAAACTAAAAAAAATTAACATCACTAAAAAATATTGTGTCATTTAAGATTTATGAACCGTTAAAAAGTGCAACTTTCGGAGGCTCCCACATCAACGTTTATCAAACAATCGATTTAAAAAAAATTTCTATTTTTTTGTTCTTGTTACCTTTTAAGTTTTATATAATCAAATTACGTAAAAAAAATTGTTTAAAAATATTGTTTTTTGATTTGTTTAATGTTAATTTGACATATTCTGAAGTCATCACAAAAGTATGCTACATTTTTATTTGCATAGTCCTGATTAAATAGATAGATATAGGTTTGGAAAATACCATAATCGATTAGTGTACGTAAAAAGTAGATTTTAGATGTTAGTCACACTAAAATCAAATTTTTGAGCGCAAAATGTTCACCAAAACCTGAAGAAATAAAGTATGGCATACTCTTGGGCTCTCTTAGCTAAGCTCTTCAAAATAGCTCGACTTCGAGTTAAGCCTTCAATTAAAACTTAAATTACCGAAAACTAAGGCAAAACCGCATCGAGTCGGTGGGCAACGCTTTTAGTAAATTGATCAACGAATTTTTTTTTGAAGGAATGAACTAATTTGGGGATGGCACTCGAAGGCACTCGAAAAGCAAAGTACTCATTTGCTGAAAAAAAGCGTAAAAATCAACAATTACATTTATTTTAGCAAACAAGTAAGACATACGAGCTATATTATATTTTTTACTTGTTGAAAATAATCCCTTCTGCAAGTTTCGGAAAGAAGTCGAAGAGCAACATCGGCATCTTTGACTTCTAAATTTTTTTTCATTTCCATCAATATTTTATGAATTTTTCACTTTGAAAATATGGTAAAAGAAAACTACTTGCCCGAATTCTTTGAAACTTTGGCATAAATTAGTTTAATGTATTATAAAAAGGATCCCAAACTCAATTTGGTCATTTTCTTAAAAAAGAAAAACGTATTTTTGGCCAAAAATCTGATCGGCTGGCCCAGTGTGCAGAGGTAAGAGACAAAAGTGTTGAACAAAATAAAAGCAAAAAGACAAGCAAAGAGTCTTTTTTGTTTTTAAGCACCTTAAAGATTCTGTTTTTAACAGCTAAAGGTTGCTAAAGTCGGTAGGGCGTTTCCGAGGCCTTAACATCGGATTAATATATAGAAAAATATAGTGATTCATATATATTAAAACCAATAAGTTGGTAAGGCGTGTCCGTGGCCAAAACAGCGGATATAAAAAATATAAAATTTTGTGAAAAGTGCATTAAAAAAAAAAAAGTGCCCACAAAATAACATTTGCAAAAAGTGCCTAATTGCAAATGAAATACTCTTGTATTGGAAAAAAATCCACAAGAGAAAATTGCGCAAAATCCAAAAATTTGGAAAAATAAGGGTAAAAAGTGCCTACAAATGCTATAAAGCCAAGAAGCTATAAAGCATAAAATTGAAAAATCCGACTAAATAAAAATATTATTATTAAAGAAAAAGTGCACAATAAATAATAATATTACCATTAGCATTGACTATGGTTAACAAGAGCCTGCAATATAAATGTAAATATTGTAAAAGGGCCTTGAATTGAATCGCAATTAAGCGTTCAACTCCATTAATTTGGATTATGGGAAAATATACACCATTGGGCAAATAGCCTGCAGATGCAATATTGCATTTTAACATCCCGAAACTGGGATAAATATAATACATCAAGCTACCGAGAGGACGATCTCGGCACCATAACTTAATTTCATTTTGGAAGGAAGAAGACTTGCTGGCTGACCGCAGGACCTGGACACCAAGGGAAGTCGTCGCCAAAATCGTCGCTACAAGAACGTCGTCGACAACATCTTTGAAAAAACGCTATCGTCATCAATGGGCTAAGTCAACGTGATCAACAGATAAG